AATACTTTCGCGCGCATATCATGTTATACCTAACATGAAGTTACTCAAGCATACACGTGTGCTCTCACTCGCATACGAATACACACACGCGCGCACGTATATGAATGCATCATTTCATAATATTATTTGTTTTAGGTTACCGAAAGTTAATAAAGAAAAGGGCTATCTCTAAATCTCGCCGATGCCTTTTCAATCGTCTCTGTCTCCGTCTGTTGAACCTGACAAGCAATCCCATCTGTCTCAACAACGTAAGTGTAAATTGGTTACTTTGTTATTTAACCTTAGGAGTGAATTATTTAAACTGCGTCTGTGGCCGAACGGTCAGCATATGCCACGCAGAGGTTCCAGGCTCGATTCCCGGGCTGGGACAAATATTTGTATGGTCTACATTTATTTCTCTCGTGAGTTTGGTTGTAACTTGTGGTTGTCTGTGTGTGAGTCCATGGCACCGCGACTAAGGGTTTCTCTAGTATGGGGCTATGTTGAGTGTGTGCGTTATTATTATTATACTTTTATGCGTTATTATTAAATAGATTAATATGATATTTTTTTACAGATCCACACAACTCAAGAAACGGCATTTATTCAATGATAGATAAAATTATACCCTTTTTTAACAAAATCTGAAAATTTTACGTTTGGAACGCACATGTTCTCCATGACTACACCACTATAGTCGACATTCGACATCAAACTCTTGGTACACCAAAGTCTCTCTTAGCAGCAATGCCGGCCCTGAACCAGCTAATGCTCTTCTAGCGGAAGGTGGGCTGGTTAGACAGTTCGATTTTTTTTAGTTAGGCCATTTAGCTCACGTACAGTGGCCCCAGCGTAAATTGCAATGGACCATTGCCTATCGTAATTTACGAATAGTGTGGAACTTGATAAACGAAATTGTGAATACAAAGTGTTCCGTGTAGGGATTAATGAATTTTGTTATTGTAAGAAAAAAAATTGTATCATCAAAACGTGTTTATTTCCAGATTTTTTGTGTTTCTTGGGCCATTTTTGTACAACAAATTAAACGCCAAATTAGCCATATATCACTTTTGTTACACAAAGGTTAAGAAAATTCTCCAAGAATTCCTTCAAAATATGTCTGTATCACACAGAGAATTATTAATTATCCCAAAATAAATGTTGTCTAATAGGTATATGATTCACGTATAGGTATATGATATGCATTTTATTATTTCATTATTTTTTGTTTATAATTTAATCATATATCCATCTATACAATTAGTACTTTTTACCTGAAATACAGGATTCTCCTAGTTCAGGTATATGTGTTATATTTTACATTTATTCGCATAATTGGTCTTTAGTTATTCAATAAACAATTTTATTTATTATTATTATTAATGTAATCCGCTAATACTGCCCTGATACGCCGAAAAGAGCTATCTCAATCTGAGTAAGTTTTGGGAAAATCGACTTTTTGTAAAATGCATTTTATGTAATTGTATTTTATTCAAAATATTTCTTAGTGGTTTTTTAAATGTTTTAAGTTAGATAGCGCTATTTTTATTATACCATTATACGCGAAATTATTATAGTCATGGAATGGTATAAAAAAGAAACCAAAAAACTAAAAGTATTTCAGAGATAGCGCCTTTCGGCTTAGTAGGGCAGAATAGTGGTTGTAATAAATGTGTTGGTACCGAGTGGTACTACTGTATTGCTTGTTTTGATTATTTACCTCACCTATCCTCACTTCATGCATCACCGTGCTTGGTATACCTACTACCGTCGAGCAAACGGTGCTTATTATCAAAGAACTTTCACACATTTTTCCCAGACAAAACTGATGAAAAATCGGCCTATTTAAGGTATTTAAATTAATTTTGTAAGTAAAATATCACTCAAACACAACTATTCAATATTAAAACCATGTTTAGGTCGTTACATTCTGAATTTGGGTAGGATTCGTCAATTTTCTTCCTCGCGACCTGCACTTGTTTTACGCCATTTTCGCAAATTTCGAATTCCGCCACTACCCACGACTGTTTTTAATTTTAAAAATAGTAAAAATATATTTTCATATGGTTCTAGTGTTAATCGATATGTATTTAAATGCTCGTCACCTTTAAATATATTTTATTTCTTAATAAAATGAATATAATAAAGTGGTTAAGAGTTAAAGCGTAAAATACTATGAAAGTTTTAGGGCAGCCGTCCACTTTAGCTTTGTTCTTGATTCTGCATAAGTAGGTAGAACTAAATATTCAATCGAAAACGTCGCCACCTGTTCAAATTCTGAATTTGTACAATTCGTTATTTATTAGCAGTTAGTACAAAATGTGTTTGGCATGTCACCATTAAGCACGTTAGGACTGTGTTACTTTAGTACCTACCTATTACGATTACGTATTGTAGTTGCGTTCTTCTTTACAACAAATATAATAATTATAATATACACATTCTATTACACATACACAAGCAGATACCTACACAGCAAGTACACAACACACACATACTTTAATTTATCCCTAGAGGGCGCCCCTTAGCAATTCTTAAAATTTGTGTGCGGAGCGCCTAAACAAGTAAACAACCGCGATTTGGTGTAAACTGCTGACGCGCGCCGGTTTTTATTAAAAAATTAAAGTTTAATTATTAAGTGTTACAATTTACATATCTAGTTGTACGCATAATTCATTAACTTTCGATTAACGTAAAAATCTAAGTGATATGGTGTATGTGTGTGCGGTTTGAAATAAAAATGTGACGTCCGTAATACACTAGTGAGAAACGGAGTTAAGTCATTTTGAAAGCTGGTTTTCAGGTAATTATATCGTATTTCATATTGTGTTAGTGTCTGATAGGTAGGTTAGATAGCTTTTTACTACTGCTGTTAATATTTCCAATAAAAAGCTACTAAATCACGAGATATTAATTATCAAAATACAAGAGAATTATCACGTCTTTGTTAAATGTCAAAATGATGTAATATTTTCCATCGTATTTTTGTGTTATTTTTCGAGAAATAGCCATAAATTTACCCTGAATATAAATGTTTATAAACTATACTTTAAGGAGTAATTTCATGGTAAACGTTAGTACCACTCAAACGGAATATTATCATATTTATCCAAGTACACCAAAAATTTCATTTGTGCTTTTTAAGTGCAGGATTTCCGGTGTGTTACTGCATTTTATTTGAGATGTTTTTGTTGGTAGTACGGAGGGTATGTATTTAGCAATGCAGAATAATAATTTTTATTTATAAGAACTTGTATTTAAACTGAATGCTTTTCTAATTTGCGAAACCAGATAGCCGTCATTTTGCGGTAGGTTTATCCTATCCTTTAAGGGCCGTGTAGGTGAGGGTAGCGCATCGCGTGAGCGGGTAGTGGTAGTACTGTTTTCGTAGGGCGCGGAGCGTTGCTACTATGTTGCCAACCTTGGTAGCGAAGATGCAGATGTCGTTCGGTGTGTCTGTAAGGCGCGCGTGCGCGCGCAGCTGTTCCAGCTCGGCGAGGAATTCTAGTGTCTTCATGATGTGCGTCGTGTTGGCGCTGTAGATTAGAAGTTTCTCGACCGCTTCCTTTGCGTTTTCACGTAGGCTTCTTCTAAGACGGGCTATATTTTCTATTTCGCTGTATGATGAGGCTGTTTCGTCGTAGGCCGCCTTAAACGACAACCATTCCACATGAGGTCCACTGTAGATTGGAAGTTCTATGCAATGCTGCCTTCCTCGCCCGGCGATAGCGATTGCTTTCGCTAGTTCGATGACATTAATTGCTTCTGTTTTCACTGCGATCTTCTGTTCGTGTGGAAATTCTTCGTTATAGTATAGAAGTATACGTGTCGTTGGAGCGGGGTGAGGGGCAGTAGACCAATATTGTTCATGCTTCTGTTGTAGCGATGGATGCAGCTGTGTAAGTGGAGCAGTCTTCTCTCGTGGTTCCCCATCGCAGGCAAAACACGCGTGCTTGTCGTTGAGCCCTTCTGATACTCGTCGCTGCGGTTCTGGTTCTGCTATGTCTTCGTCAGTATCAGAGTCTTCAGTTTCTATACGCGCTATACGCGCTGCGGCGAGTTGGCCTTGAAGGTGCAGGAGTTCTTCGCGCTCTTTCGCTATACGAGCTCTGCGCGATGATTTCTTCGTGCTGTTATATTTCAGGTGGTACTGCTGTGAAAATTTGAAATGGATGGTAAGTAGTGATAGCGGAAGTTTGGTTGTGACGCATACAAATTGTAAAATATATAAATTGGTAAAGAAAGTAGACATCATCTGACTTTGAACAATATGAGAAAGAATATGCGTTTTATTACTATATTTAATTATATAATCTATATTCTCTGTGCAACTGCTTTTAAAAACGTCAATGTGAACGTCTGCATATGCTATACCATCTAATTGCACTTAATTTAATACGGAAATGAGGTTGAAAACGAATCAATTTGTTTTAAGTATCCGTACAAAAATGTCGTCGAATGACTTGCCTTTAGATTTAAACAAAACCTTCTCGATGCTTACGCAGTTATTTAAAATAGCCGGTTTTAATATATTTGACGATCCCAATAAAAGCTTCATAAGAAAATATGCCCTACTTGTATTTACAACTGTAATGTCTATGTTGATGACCATTTTAGTTACTATATATGTAATGATGGAGTTGTCGAGAGCTTCATTTTTTAATTATGCTGATGCTATACCGATTGCTATTACATTTACTCAGGGTGAGTTTACTTCAATGTATTCTATCATTACACTTCTTGAACTTGTGACAAGAAAATTTGCCATGTGTAAGAAAATCCAAACTAATATTGTACACACGAATGTAACTCTGTTACTACGTTTCACGCCTAAATCACTGAACCAAACTTGATGAATTTTGGTATAGACGTAGATGGTACCTAAGAGAAGGACACCTACTTTTTGGCACAAAAATAAATCTTTTAAGTGAAATTTAAATCCAAGTATGTGTGTAAAACCAACCATTTAACCTTTATAGTGTTTTTTTATATTATTTACTAAATAATGCATTTTTTTAGATATGGTAGGTTTTCTCTCACTTATATACAAGAAGAATGAAATGAAGGCTTTAATGTACGACGTCGCTGAGGTGTGGCCGACGGATCTTGGTGGCAACAAAATCAAGGAAGAAATTAAGAAAAATTGGCTAAGGCGTATGGCATTTTTTACTCGCGGTATTTACGATCTTATTTAATTCATATAGGTTTATTTTATGACAACTTTGAGATAAAGTAAAAAGGTGACAACATAGCGCATACCTTTATATTCTTACAGGCTTTCGACTTACATAACTTTTAATTAAATGTTTAATAAATTACGTTTTATTAAATGTTAAATATAAATCATAAGTAAATATTAGACAACATCACTTAAGTAGCTCTGATCCCAAAGTAAGTAACTAAAGGACTTGTTTTATGGAAATGGGAAACAATTACGGTACCACAAACACTCAGAGCCGAGACAATATAGAAAAGTTAGTTTTTTACATTCACCCGACCCGACCGCGACGAAAAACAAAGTGTGCAAGCCTGTCGACCACAGAGGCCGCCAAAACAAAATTTAAAAAGGGACTAATGCTGAGCAGTGTTGCACATATCAGTTAAAATATTATAATGTAATATATACGTTACAATCATTACAATCAAGTTTTACGATTGGGTTTGATATCACTAGAACTAATCTTTATAATAACAAATACATATTACCGCTAAATAAAATCCAACTCCGCAACTAAATGGGCAAAGCGTAACACAATATCACTTCTATAAAATTAAGCTTCTTCTTCGTAATCGAATTTGTCTGTTTTTTCAAACGAACCAACATTTTGGGTTCTTTACAGGTCACAGCTGATTCTAAGCCTATGTGTAACAATCGCGTAAAAATTAAGAACTCATTGTTGATGATGTCAACAGTGAATTATTGTAATTGTTATAATTACTTCATCAGCATCAATATCACATCAATCCACTGCTAATTGTAGGTCTCTCTTATTGCGCCAACTTTCACGGTCATGCGCCATCCGCATCCAGCTCGATCTCGCAAATCTGACGCTATCGCCATACCATTGGACCGGTGGTCTGCCCACTGTCTTTTCGTTCTTCTTGGCCGAAATTCCGTAATAGCTTTGGTTCATCATCGATCTTTTCGCCTAGCTAAATGTCGCGCCCATTTCCACCTTAACCCCATGTTGTGATTACCCACGTCATCGATCTTTGATTTTCGTCGAATTTCGAAGTTTGGTAACAATTGAAAAGCGCCGAATTGAAAAGCAGAAAACGTCAGGAAGCGTCTGTACAAATCTTTATATTCGTGTAATAATAGCCAGGGTTTCAATGGCGGCACCATTACATCCGGGTTTATGGCTTCATTTTTGGTCGAAAAACTATTGCAGCAAATTTTTGATAATTCTTTAGCTCCGACAAGTTGTATTATATGTTTGTATTATGACTTGGTAAAGAATCAAAAATAAAATTTTAGTAAATGGAATTTGAAACAGCTCCGACTGTTGTGGCGGTCGAGCTGGGAGTGACCGTGGTACGAAAACAAAATATGAAAGTGAAGGAAGATGGAACAATTCAAATTAGAAATTTAAATACACGTAAAATAAAAACAATTATAGGATACAAGCGAAGAGAGGCGATATAAAAAGGTGAGATGACGGTGTAAGGAGGTTACACCGTCACATGATTACTTACCTAAAAATAAATAGTTTTTATTATTGAAATTTCAATATACTGTTTGTAACCAATTTTTTAATTGTTTTAGCTAATGCTGTAGTGTTTTTGTTATCAATTGTCGCTTTTTACACCCCTGCATTGATTCTAACGCTGTACGACCAATACGCGAATGATGGAACCGTTTTTGTATTTCCGTTCAAAATGTATTACTTTTGCCAAAATAACACGACACTCTACTCGTATCTACTAGTTTTTGTCTTTGAAATAATTTTCAGTAAGTATTGCCATCGAGTTTATTATTTAAGTTTAAATATTATGACAACTTAACAAACAAAATTATCACCAGTGCTTAGTTACTAGCTCATAGCCTTACACGTTACAGGTTCATAACTTTAGCTTGCCAGGTGTATCTAATACCCTGTAAGAGCGCAAATCTCACTTATAATTACCATTTAAAAGTATTAACTATAAATTAGTGGTAAATAATCAATAACCTTTTCATTATCGTAGTCAATTCTACACACACATGAAAATCTTTCTGCGAATTCTTTTCTAGGTACATGTTTACACATGCTCGTGCATGCACCATGTAATCTTATGTTAACCATCCTAACCTGTAATATTAGTATGATGATGCGTTGGCTACAAATTGATCTAGAGAATGTTCTGGAAGTCAGCGATGGAAGAGCAGTCTTTGACGAGGATAAACTTAAGAATATTGTTAAAGTTCATCAAAAACTTTTGAGGTGAGACAATTTTCTATTTTATATTTTGTCTTATTGACCCATTGTTTCGACTTCTGATTGCGATGGCAAATCTGCTTTCCTTGTCATAATCAAATTTTCTAATTATGTTACGGATAAATCAATATTTTTTTACACCAAAAAAGGTGTGTCGCTCTCGCGCAAGACGCGCTCTGTCGTGCTCGCCCTAATACCCATCGTTGTCAGACTATAAAACGTCTTCATCTTTTTCAGACTCTGCGAGAAATTGAACGAATGTTTCGGTATAGCAATATTCGTATCAGTGGTTTCTTCCTCACTTATTATTGGTTTCCTTGCATTCTTGACTTTGGTGAGTATCTTTCTCTTATACTATGCCAGAGAACAATATTTACTATTTATAATTATCTTCAATTTTCGCAACGATTTCATTGAATATACTTGTAATTGCAGGCAATAGATAAGAAATACATAGTGGCTACATTTGTCATTAGCTTTGAAATGTTAAACTTGTCCTGGCCTGGGCAGTTGCTTGCAGATATGGTAAGATTTTTAAATCTACCAATACATACTGTAACTTTAGTGTAGCAAAACTTACTTTAATTTTTTACGTGCAAAAAACTTATCGTATAAACGCGGAATTTAACTTGTGAACTGACGTAGTACGTATTACTACATAAATTGCGAGCTCACATCGTGTTACGTCTTACGTTGGCATTGACATGATGGCTTTTTATATCTGCAGGTTGTCGTTACTCTATTTTTTCAGAGTTACGACATAGCAGAGGCTGCTTACAGAACTCAATGGTATGACGCCGACTTAAAATTCAAGAAATTCATCTACATTATTATTCTGAGGTACCAAATATGCTTTATTTCTCTGAAGATTTTTACCATCACTAACTTATGTGTTTATGACAAATTATACACATTTATTTGTCTTGAATATCAATGTGATGTTTCTATTACCTGGCTATGATTTTGTGAAAATATTTCACTGGACTTTAGTCCAGTATTCTCCCTCGACTTCTCTTTTCTTATAATGTCATGGACCCAATAACGTTTAGACTTTCTTTTTCGGTTCTCTTTTTCCTTTTCTCCTCTTCCGTACGCATATGGATCGGGTATATTACCGTGTTACATACAATTATAGGTTTATTATTAATTATAGTTTATACTATTATAATACAAATACAGATGTATAAGTGCTCTGTAATGCACTACACAGAGCACTTACATTGTTAGTCATAGTTTTTGAACAATGAATTTGTGTTTGTCTTACTAATTTCTTTTGTTTTTAATTTAGTAGGAATGTGTGAACTATATTGACGTTAATTTTCAGGTCTCAAAAGCCTGCCCAATTGAGTGTATTGGGATTTACAAACTTGACACTTAGGGTATTTGCAAAAGTGAGTACCATCATGGTTAATCATGTATGAATTCTAATACAAACAAATACATCCCATTTCTGGACACGGGTCTCCTCCAAGAAAGAGGTTTGGGCCATAATTCACTACGCTGCTCCATTATCGTCATCATTATTACCTCATTTATACATCTCACTGCTGGGCACTGGTCTCCTCTCAAGGTTTAGGCCATAGTCCGCCACACTGGCCCAGTGCAGGTTGGGGACTTTACACGTTTTCCGAGGGTTGTGAACTATCTTCCACGTGCAGGTTTCATCACGATGTTTTCCTTCATCTTAAAGCTGACGATGAATTTCGCACTTAAATTCCAAAAAACTCAGAGATGCGAACCCAGATTCGAGCCCATGACCTCTGCTTGAGAGGCGGTAGGTCAAACCACTGGGCTACCATGGTTCTCTTGTATTAGGATTTTCCATATTTTCCCCAACATTAACACAAGACTTGATTCAACTGAAAATTGATCTCAGATCTCGCCTTTGAGTTCTCCCAACTGTTTATATCCAAAGTATGAAGTTTTATTACTCCTCTCCTTTTCCGTACGTCTGACGCACTTTGAGCAAGTAAGGCCAGTACCGGGGTAAGGCCAGTACCTTACCCCGATTGGCAAATCCTTACACCACAATGGCAAGCATTATAATATATGCCATCGATACGATTAGAATAGATACCAAGTATACTAACCTGTTTAAGAGCATTATTTTTTGCTAATAATGTTGTTTGTTATTTCTTTCAGGTTTTAAGTTCTGCATGGTCGTATCTCTCCATTTTGAATTGTGCATATGCGTCTCGAAATTAATAATTAGTAACACTTACATTTAGATTTAATACTCTTGACATAGGCCTAGCGCCACTCTGGCAGAGCAAATTTTATTAAATCAATTTGAATAAAATAAAATTTATCAAATAACAAAATAATTTTTCGATATATTTTCATATTTCATATTCGGACCATATTTTCTTGGTGTATGGCGCAAAGCTGGGATTGACATTAAATGCTTACTAGGCACCTAACACTATTAGTAGGCTGACAATCACTTAATAGTACTTAATTATAGTTGTACACAAAATAACAAGAAATATGAAAAGTGTTACTTGAAAAATTGTATAGTTTTGCTTGAGTTTATTGATCTCTTTAGTGTCCGCAATAAAACTGACACATAAAATAAATAACAACAAAGTAGTTTAAAGAGATAGATCGTGAACACAAAGGACAAATTTTCAGACTGTTTCACCAAATACATATATACCACTACGCCTGACTCCCATTCCCCTGACAAACTCCTTGCCTTTCCTGGTACGGGACCGGTTTATTCTTGATTCTTTTAACCTCGGCATTTTGTGGGATACCCTCAATCTGATCACGATTTGTACGTCTGGGCCTACCTCCTCTATATTTTCATTTACATTCGCTCTAAAATGTGGCGTTATTGTAATACCCATTCTTTCTGACCAAATCATCGACGTAATCCCGGCGGAGCATCATGAATACAAGGGCAAACAGTTCGAAGTTTCTGTTGCTTGGGCGGTGAATGTTGCCACATACCTATTCTAGACCTAACAATTCTATTCAAAACTTTGGACCTTTGCTTACCGAAGCCTTTAGAGATGATGCAGACATAAAGAGGGAACGCAGAGCGTTGTCAGTCCGGGAGAATAAACTAGCCCGCAGATTTCGATGTACAGCTACAGTTAAAAAAAAACGGTATTTAAAGTGTTCTGCACTTCTTTTTACTCGTCGTTTCTGTGGATCGGACACACTCAAAGAGCTTACAAATCTCTGCGCATCCAATATATAAAAATCTTCAGGGTGCTGTTGCGGCTACCACAGTAATGCTCACATTTGGTGCTTTAATATTTCACCGGACAAACTCTTTCACAAGGAGCTCTACTGCAATTTTTGGTGTAGTGTAGATATATGAACAGTAAGTTACCATCGAAAATCTAAAGTTCGAACTGATGAGTGAATCACACCGTCCAGTATCCTCAAGTAAATAGTGTCAAGTTTTTACATCATACTTACGGTGCTACGGAACTATATATTAAAGGCTTTATTTTTTTTTTAATAATAATTTTAGTCTTTATGAGTCTGGTGTTCGTACTATAATCACTAGACCCTCGCTTCTACAGTTTAGCTCAAAAAAATAATCATTGTGAGTTCAAGTAAATGAAGAAACAAAATTGAGGGGTATATGTGTGTTTTTAATGTATGTGGTACGTGTAGGTGAGTGTGTGTGTTTTGTTGTATGTGGTATAAGCACATCCCGGACACTCTATACAACGTACGAAAGTTATTTGCCTACTACTACTACTACAGCAAAACCCTATCTGAACACGCGCAAATACGTGCGTGAAGCACTTTCTCGTACCTATTACGTGATAAGAGCGGCGACATAGCGAAATTTGTAACGCGAATCAGTTATCTATAATTCTATTAATAGAATCCTAATAATTACACATGTTCGTTAGATATTTATATCGATACAGTATTATATTTTTCATTAATTCACTAACTAGAATAATATTGAACATTTATTTTTTTAAATATTAAAAGCACTTTCAATGTTATATTTCGGACAGGTACCTACGTTTAAATAAGATAACCAAGATATTTGAAATTGATTGTCCAACTTTATCATTACCTAGTTAATAATTATACCTATTCACTACATACTATAAATTGAACATTCGAGAACCTTTGTCTACTAGTTCATGAACTCACGGCGTCTTATTGATATAAGTAACCTGTAATATGATCTGTATTATATATTACTCTGCACTAAATTAATGAAAAAAATAATAAGTTTTTGAAGGATTAACTATATGCTCAATTTATTTTTTTGTATGCATGCTGTGATGTTCCTTAACTATAGAAGCACTTAGTTTTAAGCGAATATGTTCAAATTTAATGTATAGTGTATTGCTATGTGGAATATCCTGAATAAATAAATAAATAAATAAATAAATGAACTGAACAGCTTTTAAATCTATATAAAGCACAAGTTCGATCCTGTATGGAGTACTGCTGCCACCTTTGGGACGGCTCTGCCCAATACCAGTTAGCTGCCTTGGACTCGGTGGAGCGTAAAACAAAGAGACTTATTAACAATAATCCTCTTGTGGAGTCGAAGCTCCAAAATCTCGATCATCGCAGAAAAGTAGCCTGCTTGTCGGTTTTCTATCGGATACATTTCGGGGAGTGTGCGCAGGAACTTTTCAATTTGGTTCCGCCCTCACCGTTCCTCCTTCGGTCGACTAGAAGGTCCGGAGCACTCCATTCTTATGTCGTTGATATTCCACCTATTCGCACTAAGCGCTTTGCTTCCTCCTTTCTGATGCGTACGGCAAAGGAATGGAATGCTCTACCGGCATCTGTATTTCCCGAAAAGTACAATTTGGGGCTATTCAAGGCTAGAGTGAATAGGCATTTTTTAGGCAAACGCGTCCCATCGTCGGTCACATCGTCGCTTAACATCAGGTGAGATTGTGGCCAAGCGTGTGTCTATTATATATATTTAAAAAAAAAATTAAACAAAATAAACTGAATGAGTCGCAGACATAACTTTTTTCACTTACTTCGTTTCATCTTTCGGAAAGCGAAAGAAACTCCTCTCTTTATCCCGGTTAGATGAAGATAAACAGCCGTACAGGGCATAATTCACGACCATTATATAAATAGTAACGTACAATGATGTTATATATTAACGTACAAGCTTCGTAATATTCATTATGAAAACAATGAAAACAATTTTCAAATATCAAAGCCGCCTTAGTGCGAAAAGGTTCACTGACAGACTTATTGTCGTTCAGTCAATGTGACCGTCAATGTGCGGGGCGTGGTGCGGTATCTAAAGCTGGGGAGGGGCGGAGGATGTCCTTTCTCGTTACTTTTTTATTCTCTGGTCTGAGTCGGTCACTGTGTAATGGTCTATCCACACGTATCCGGGCCGTGCCCGGGACGTGGACGGGCCGTGCTCCGTCAGGGGCTTAAAAAATATCGTTGCGTATATTTTGTATGAACTCGTTGACACATGTCCGTGTCCGGGCCGGGACGCCGGACGGGGCCGCAGTTCATACAAACTAGCACGCCCCGGCCACGTCCCGGGCACGGCCCTGATGTTTGTCGATAGTCCTTAACTCACGGGCTTGTTCTATTGGAGCGGAGTAAGTAAAAATTCAGTTGAATCGTTGTTCAATATATACAAGTAGTCTAACACACGCGCGCACACACACTCATAGTGTCGTATTCCAGAACTCTACTCAATGCTTAAGTCAGGATTTGAGCAGACTTGAGTATGATTTCAAGCACTGGAAATACGACCCTAATGGCAAGGACTTGAGTATGATTTTCAGTGCCCACTGCAATACTCAAGTTCCGACTTGAGTATTGAGTCGAGTTCTAGAATACGACCCTCAGTCTCGCACTAGGGAAACCCTGTATCGCGGATGCCATGGACACACACATAGACAACCACAAATTACACCCAAACTCTCGAAGAAACAAATGTAGGCCATACAAATATTTCTCCCGACTTTTAAATTATGTTGTTTTTAATTCTAACAAGTAGGTGATGGATAGCAAGATAATATTTAATTTTTAATATTGCTTCTATGAAATGAAGCTTTTGCTCAAAAATAAACAGGATTATAAAAAATAAACTAATTAAAATATTAGTTTGACGCGAATTATTTTTGTATCTATATACTTTTATACGACGTATTAAGGGACATAAACAATAAACACAAAAAACTTTTCATTATTGTATTGTCAATTTATATGTAATAATAATATCTCACAATATTTGCAGACCTAAGGACAATATACAAACTTTATGACCAATTTATAATGATGACTCGCTTTTATGTATTTATAAAATGTACAATATAATCTCATTCGTTTTGCACTTAGTGTTTAAATATTTACAAAATATTAGTTCTGATAAATTTGTATACAATATCTATATTTATTTAGATTACAAGTGATATAAATACATAAAAAATAAAACGAACTAGTTGTATTTACAATGTAATCAGGTCATCATCTTAAGCCTTTTCTTATATCCTTCTTTATTCCTGCTGTGTGGTTACCCTTGGATATAACTGTAACAAAATAAAACACATATTAAACACATATTTAAAGAAATAAAACTCGTATAATCAAGATTACCAATCTTTACGCAGACACTCTATCGCGTGTGATACAGAGTGAGCGCGCGTGTAAAGACGTTGGAAAGAAAAGTGAAATACCGCGCGACGCGCGCGCGCGCCCTGCGCTATTAGATTTACACGGACGCTCTTTCCGTTGCAACAAAAACGAACACGAGCAATCGCGTGCAAAAGAACGTTAGCTTAAAAAATTCAAACAAATAGGGGGAAGCGGGGCACTTTGATACAGGGGGCAAATTCATACCACTGCGTCATCTCCGTACCTTCAAACATAATATTAGTTGTGATAATACTAAAACGTGCCTTTGTACGTATGAGTAATAGACATGCGATGGTGCAGCTCACCAGTAAGCCGTTTACGTTCGACAGGCCACAAAGTGTTTTCACAGCCGTTAACTAAAAAAATAAGGGACACAAATACGAGTGCCGCTGCAGTATTGTTCACTTTACAGGGTTTTATGTCTCAATACAGGCTAAACTAGTGTTTTCAATAACTGAAAATGGATGTGACTGAGAGAATATATAATGATTTTTTTTAAATAAATATTTTTTTCTAAACTGGCCGGTGGGGTACTTTTATACACTCGTGAGTGGGGCAGTTTGGTACGTATCAAAGTGCTCCTATTAGTTATTTTGTACGAAAAATGTAAAACTGTTTCAACAAGTTATTGTAAAGAGGTGAACTCGTGACATTTTGCGCTATAGTTAGCTCTTTCTCCTGTATTTCTACTTCCAAGACAACATTACAAAGAACACTTTTAAAATGGTGCCCTAGAAAGAAGTCTTGATAGAGGCACATATAGCGTCATACTTTATGAACAGTTGATCGATCACATTATGCTGATAATACGTGGCAACCAGAAATGGCACACTACGTTGATTCACACATTCTAAGTGCCCCAAGTAGCGATGAAAAAGACTCAGTCTTTTAAGGCGTTTCATAACTACTCGACTCCATTTTGCAGGACGCGACTCTAAAATTAAGACTGGAGGTTCGAGTTTTTATTAAAAAGACTCAGTCGTTATACTAAAAGACTTAAACGACTTAAAAGACTTAAACGACTTAAAAGACTTAAACGACTTAAACGACTTGAACAACTGAAACGACTCGAGTTGTTTGCAATGGAATGAGTCCATTGCAAACAACTCGAGAGAACCTATTTTATGTCTTATTAAACCCGACGTTTATAAATAAAAATGACGTAGTATGTAGTAAATAATCACGTTTATTTACTTATAATAGAAATTAGGATTTAAAGAGTGATTTAAGCAATAGGTACAAGATTTTAAGACCGAATTATGTAATGATTGCATACTATACTTTTTCTGTAAGTAAATTAAAATAATGAAATACAACCAATATTTAAAAGTCTATGGAAATTCAGTTCTAACATGCTCTTTTTATATTTTGTGTAATATTGGTCTGTAACCACTTTTTTATTATGAAGTCCTGGTACTATTTTTGTATAAACTTCTTTAGAAACCCGTGCACAGTACTGAGATACAATTTATCTGTAATACATAGAATAAACATATAAATAAAAATCTCGCCTGTCACCCATTCAGGGGTAGGCAGAGACTGTGGACCTTCACTTAATACGTTCATAAATATATGTTTCATTCATCTTTATATAAATAAAAATATAATATAGTATTATATAAAAATATAAGATAAAATATTTTTACTGTTGGGTTCTGTATCCATTCATTTTTATATTAAAGGAACAAATAATTCCCAAAAAACAAATTCTTGAATTGGTTATAATTTACTGGCTTCTGTGAACAAAGTTACGTTAACTTTATGATGGATAAAAAAAAATCGTAAAATAAATATCTTATGAATAGAAATAAAATCACGACATATGGCTCATGACTCGCGACTCCTTTCTAAAACGTACTCCTCCTCCTCCTCCTTATTTAAAAAAAAAAAACTCCCAAGGCTATAAGGCGCCAGTCGTTTTAGTCCGATAAGTCTTTTAAGCTTCCTAGGGTCAAAATATTTCGGCTCCAATTAGTCTTCAGTTTTAGTCTTATGACTCAAGAATTGAGCGTTAAAAGACTAGACTAGTCGTGAGGCGTTACAAATTCGTGGTTTTTTAAAAGGCCTTAAAAGACTGGGTTTCTTTCATCACTAGCCCCAAGCGATGTATCAAAGTACCCCACAGGTGGGGCAGAAATTGACACTTCCCATTTTTTGTTAAAATCAAAATTTTTCAATTATTCAATGCTATTTACGAAAGAAAAGATTAAATTAGTAATGTTTATTAGTTATATCATCAATTAGGTAGAAAAAAATATTCATTATAATTTCATTTAGTAACCCAAAATTAAAGTTAAAAAAAAGTGTACCAATCTGCCCCGCTTCCCCCTAATCGCATATGATTGCGCGTGCAGGCTTTCCCGCGCGCAAACCTGTACGCTCCTGATCTCGCGCGATAGAGTGACTGTGTAAAGGAGGGTATTGGGTTCACCTATCGTGATCGTCAATTTTTTTACATCTCTCGATATAATTACAGTGATAGCTGAAACGTTCAATGATACAAACCTATTATCGGAAAATAAAAATATGAAAAGAGAGATTTATGTCCACTTGCACTTAAATATGTCGTAAACCAATGCTTGCAATGCCATTTGCATTCTCTTAATGCATCGTGTCAAGAGTGTATTATCAATTTAAGCGTTGGTGTAAGACGTACCTACATAACATATTCGTGCGAGGATCGTATTTTTGCCGATTGATGCGCTGTGACAGATATTTTTGTTGTACATTAATGCAAATGTTTATAAACGTTTCTTCTACAGGTTATTAAATGATTGTAGCAAATAAGGACACTGACTGACTGTCAATAAACGTTGACGTCTATGGGCTCATTCAGAGTGCAGGCGCGGGCGGGCAGGCGCGGGTTTTGGCGTTTCACAATGCCGAAGCGGCTACGAGCGGGTAGATTCACACGTCGAACTCGCAAATAGAGGCTAGACGCTACACCAAGCACTATGAAAGGTATGGGCGGGCCGAGCCAATACGACCGTCTACGTACATTTGTTTTATACACACCCACGCCCGCCGCCACTCTGAATAAGATACACGTCGCAGTCCATACGTGTAAATAATAAATAAATAGTGTTTTATTACATAGTGTGTATGTTAGTTCTTAAGGTATATATTATATGGGTCATGTTGCCTGAATGAAATAAATAAATAAAAATAAAACATAAATTGCGTGTGTATGCCAGCGATCGTTGGTATGTGTGAGTAGTGCTTAATTATCCTGTGAAATTTCGATACTGCGTGTCGCTAGGGATTCAATTCAATATTTGGATGGTTTTTTTTTAATAATAACGCACACACTCAACATATAGCACTAGGGAAAACCCGCGGGTGCCATGAAGACACACATAGACAACCATAAATTACACCCAAACTCACGAGAGAAATAAATGTAGGCCATGCAAATATTTCTTCTGGGACCTCTTAAGTTCTTCGATGAAATAAAAGAAATTAAACGACGTAATAGTAGATACATTTTCTGCATTACTTACAAATGTTTAGGGCGGCATAGTACGTAACTTGCGCAAATGTGTTTAGTGCAAGTGGACATTAGCTTTGCCATATAATAAGAAAGTTGTACTAAAAGAAACCACTCACCCCAAGCAAGTTCCTGGGTACATAACCTTCATTTCCCTGGTCGTCCCTGCACCACCACCATTCTCTCTCGTTGTCGTCTCCCTTCCTTAGGACTTGCAGTCTAGCGCCAGTCTCAAAAGACAGCTCGTCGCTTCTGGCGGCGGTGTAGGAGAATACTGCGTATACTATCCCATTATTCATTATACCTAACTTCTCTTGGACACCTGGAATTAAAAAAAAAGATTATTATAACTTTTTTTAATAAAATAAAGACCGATCTCAAAAGTTTGCTTATCGGATTTTTTATTAAATTACATCTATTTGCCAAGTTTTATTGTATGCGTTAACGGAAAGTGCGCGAAACCGGATTTATCCACCTTTAGAGGTGAAATATTTTCTTCAAATTTAAATGTCACCATTACGGAGGTACCTTCTTTCCAACAAAAAATAATCATTAAAATCAGTTCACAAATACCGGAATAATCGCGTAACATATACAAAAAAAAAATAGTCGAATTGAGAATCTCCTCCATTGAGAATATTTTTCAAAGTCAAAGATCATTTATTCCATAAGTAAAATAAATTTACATTACATTACATTAAGCTGCTTACTGCTCATTCACTACAGTCACTTCCATGAGAAGAACGAGCAAGAAACTCTAGGGATTGCTTTCAAATAAACTTAAATGCTATGGAATACGCTTTGAATCAAATTTGCGTGGATTCTGCAGCCGTGTCGTCTTTCCATACATCTTTATCCAACACGTACTCTCCAATTTTGTAATATGACTTTTCGATCAAAATATTTTTAATGTAGTTTTAAAACTTAGGAAATGATAAACTTAATATATGTTCCGGAATCTTATTGTAAAAACGTATACAGTTCCCCATAAAAGAGTCGTTTACCTTGGTTAAACGAAATCGTGGTACGATGAGTTTGGACTTGGCTCTAAGGTTAATATTATAGATATCTTCTTTCTTATTGAAATTATGTATATTTTTACGGGCATATAAAATATTTGAGTAAATGTACCAGTCTCCTTAAACTTTTCTATGAGAGAAACCCGAGAGCCTAGACGGTACACAGAACGAATCGCTCGTTTTTGCAATACAATTATGGTTTGAATATTTGCCGCTTTACCCCACATGAGAATCCCGTAGGACATTATACTATGGAAGTAACTAAAGTAAACTAGTCTAGCAGTACTAACATCGGTAAGCTCACGTATTCTGCGGACTGCGTATGAAGCGGAGCTTAATCTGCTGGTCAGGGAAGATATTTTGAAGTCGGGTAAAAGTTGAAATGACATTGGTTAAAAAAAATTATAAAATATCATTTCTATCCTTTGTCATAATTAACGCATTTGCATATCGGTAACTTTCGAAATATTGGCACATGTTATTTATTTTATTTGAAAAATTCAAAAAGTTCACGTGTGTATGTATGTCTGTCGTATGTGTATTATCATCATTTATATTTTATTCACATTTAAATTTAAATTTTGTTGTACAATAATTAGTCCCGCAGACTTCTTGCACCACGGCTAGGGTTGGCTAGAAGAGATCTCTTATACATATAAGCTCACTTTTGTATATGTCCATTGTAACGTGTGTTTCACGTGTCTTTTCTTTGTACAATAAAGAATATATAATAAAATTGTCAAATACGCTACTTTTGCTTAACAATAAAACTGATATTTAGGTACTAAATAGGATATAAAAAACTGATTAGAGGGGGTTTGTAGGTCTCGTTTCGCTGATCCCAGATAATGTCGATTACGTTAGTTTATGGTTCTCTATAGTGCCCACGTTTTACTCATTTATGTGAACATGAACTTACTGTATAGATATTCAGAGCAGCCGTCAAAACCTTCTTCGTCTTCTTCGCACTTCTCAGCCGCCGTCTCGTGGTCAGACAGCGTAGTTGCGAAAATACACGCTCCTGAAAAAACCAAGCGTTATCGTTCAATATACATAGATGGCGCTATTTAGTTTTTCAACTACAATGTATCTTTTGGGAAAGAAGCCTGGTAAGATGCGAATTGTTTCTTCAAATTATAAATAGATGGCGTTACCAAATACTAATCGCCAAACACCAATGTTTGGCGATTAGTATGAGACCGAAGAAAATTATTCAGAGCCGTCATAGTTATGTTGAAATCAACATACCATTGTCGACGAGGAAGCGCACCATTGGCAAATTGTTGCAAGAAGCAGCGCAATGTAGAGGCGTCCAGCCATCTGAATCCTGGGCGTTCACATCGCAGCCAAGTTCCACGAGAAACCTAAAAGAGCGGAATGTTACAAATATAAAATGACAACCTCGGTGGTTTAACGGTTTACATTGTGGACGATGGATGCGGAGGTCCTATGTTTGATTCCTGGTAAGACTAAGTGGGGAAATGAAATTTTCTAAATTTGTTCTAGTTTGGGTGTTTTGGGAAGTGCCCCAGAGTGAATCCCGTTGCTTTAGTACTCATAGTACTGGGAATTCCCTAGTGAGTCCAGATGATTTAATTGGTGTGGTTGTCTGGCACATATTATTATTAATAACGTGGCAAAAGCTACTAACGAGTGCTGACTGTTGACACTTACTTGACAATTTCGAAATGTCCAGCACAAATAGCGTTGTGGAGAGCCGTGATCCCTTCGTCATTTGCAGCGCTTGCATTCTGCACCTGCAATTTATCAAAAATTAATCTATTGCCGATTTTCTTTGTAAAAAGGTGACAATGAAAAATTTGCAATACTGACCTGTGTTGCTGTTTTCTTAACGAGTTCCAACTCGCCTTCTAAACTAGCATCCAACAGTAGTGCGAGGGGATCGAAGCTTACTCGCCTCGTCAACGGTGCCTTGCCTCCTTGCTTCAAGTTGCCTTTCTTTGATCGCCTCAGTACATTCTCAGACCCCTGAGAATCCTGACCGTTCAAATCTACTGCGTTGATCTGCTCAGTTATATCTGACACAATGTTCTCTTTACTGTCATCTTGCTTATCACTATTTAAAGATATGTTGTTAATTAATAATGCCTTATCTACTTCGTCCTTTTGTTTCGTTTTTTCTTTTAGGCCGTTCTGTACTTCACTAGGCGCATCAATCAGATGATCCATTTCCGGGAATAAGAATGCTGGTGGCATTTCGATTCTGCGGTTTATGCTTACACTTATTCCGTTCTTTGCATTACTAAGGTTGCGTAATTTGGGCTGTTCACTTAGTGGTGGTTTACGAATAGTTAGTGGACGGGCTTTAATAATCATTTCATTGCTGTTATTCCCGTTGTTTGTCTCCTTTTGATTTTGAGGCTCGCTGTCGTTGCTGTTGTCTGATACTGGTATAATTGGTATGTCACCAGATTGATTCCCTGCATCGTTATTCACCGATTGGCGTGGCGGTGTCTGCAAGGTTAAAATTAATTTATTTGTTTTGTTTACACTACAGAAGAGTTATTAGGTAAGAGTTGTTAGTTAAGAATATTTCCAAAACATACCTTGATTGTTGGTTTTGGAGGTAGCGCTGGCTTAGGCGACTTGTCTGTGCTACTAATATCTGGAGTGGATAAAGGTGTACTGGCACTTTGAGGTGGAGACAATACGAGGCTTTGCGACGTGTTCTGCCCACTGAAGTTACTTCCCGAACTAGACAGCCCTGATGCCGTGTTTCTAACGATCTGGGGTTGGGAAGTCACGTTACTAGCTACATGATTAGGTACGGATTGTGCTTGAACTGTTTGTGGTTGGACTGGTTGGATCTTTGTGGATGATGTCTGATATATGGGTGATGGCTTTCCGCTCGATACCTGTACGGTTTTTGGAGCCACGGTCGACACGGGCTTCTGTAATGAATGGAATGATGATGATGATATTTACAATGAATGGAGTGTAGAAGCAATATATGGTACAAGCTTTGTATGATTTATGAAGTGGGAACAAGTATGCGAGTACAAAGATTCGTTAGTGATGTGCAAATGAAGCAAAACAGTATTTATTCCACTTACTCCAAAGCCCATAGAACTTGTTGACGTTGTAGTTGTTCCCAAACTCGGTGAACTACCTTTCATAGAATTTTGTTGACTCTTCATAGCATTGTTCTTGACGCTGTCACTGTTGCTTTGAACACTATTCTGACTTAGCCTACTATTCTGTGGATATGCATGGTTTTCTTTCCCCTCTTGGCTACATCTACTAGAGGAGTCAGATTTTTGCAATTGATATGTGTGATCATTTTGATATGTAGTTTCATTTTGACTTAGAGGAGTCGCCAAACTTTTATTCACAACCGACAGTGGCGTTGAATGTACAGTCATATGATTTACGTTTACTGCATTCTGATTCTTAGCATCTTGATTCTCGTTGCTCTTGCTGTTAACTTCGGGTTTTAGTTTTCCGTTCGTGCTTTGTGGGAATTTTGTGTTGTATGGCAGAGTTTGATATTTAGGATCTGACTTGCTGGCAGCGAATTCTGGTAAGAACTCTTGCTCGTTTATTTTCATCTCTTTTCCAGTTTGATTACTGTTAGAGCTACTTGTACTGTTGGGACTGTATTGAGGTTGTTTTGGATAATCAGGGTACTTGTTGATATGATCAAACATTGGCTTTTGGTCGTATGCGTTGCTTATACCCTGTTGAACGTGACTAAAAGAGTTTATATCGGGTTTGTTGTACTGTCCCTGGTACTGCCCATCTTGATGACCCGGTTGCAGGTGCGGATAGCCGTTATACAGGGGATTAATAATTTGCTTCTGTTGCAAATAGTGCGCTTCTTGCGTCAATTGAGTTTGAATGTTTTCGCTTTGAGTCAGCTGCTTTAATGGCACGTTGTTTTGTATTACGTTCTGTTTCATAGCCTGAAAGTTGGAGAAGTTTTTCATTAGTGCGTACATAAGTGTTTTTTCTACCATAGACAAAAGAAAGATAATTTTTTCTGTACACAAATATTTTTATTTATTCAAATATAGTTGGCTTTATTGTATCAAACAGACCACGTTAGTATTGCTTGGTCTTGTATTTGGCAATATAAAGGTACTGACCTGGAAATTGGTATTATGGCTGAGACTCGGTGCATGCGGCACGTGATTGTACGGCTCGACGGCAGCGATATTGCCTCGCGCCGTTTGGTTCTTTGGTTGACTGTTAGCGCCTCCAGCTGGGTAGTTAGGCAGCTGTTGCATCGGCGTCGGGTTGCTGATCCTGAAAATGTTCACACTATTCTTTTTATTGTTTATATTATAATTTAAAAAATAATAAGTAAAAAATAAATGGAGAGGAACATTCTAAACAATTATGTAAGCAGAAAATTCTATACGTTGGCATCTTACCTCTGCGGCTGCGGTTGTGGTTGCCGATGCGCGGCCGCCAGCTGCCGATTCAACGCGCGTTTGCGCACGAGTCGCGCCTGCAGCTCGGAGACGCGCCGATCGATACTGCGCATCTCCTCCTGTCGCGCGCCTAGCGCTGCTCTTTGCGCTGACAGTCTGCCGTTTTGTTGCTCGTTCAGTTTGTTGCGGTACTGTAATGGAATCGTAAAACAGATTTGTTAGACATTTTTTCGCAATACGTACAATATTATCAATTAGGTACCTATAATCAATAGAATCTCAGTAGATCTTTATTAGCAATTATTTGTAAATCATAAAGATTCCGAAAAAGAATTGAAATTGCAGCGAACTGTGGCTAACTGTAATACTAACTTAGCAGCGTTAAAATGAGTTATTGAAAAATAAATACAGAATATACCGACAAAATTAATCAGTAGTGAACCATCAAGAGCTTATTCAAATTACAATTCTGCGGAAAAACTGTACTGCCGAAAGAAATACTAACTCACCGAAAATACATATTTTATTCTTCTTTGAAAACGTTTTTACCACGCTATAGGAACCAGCTTAATTTACATTATAGCTTAGTTTACATTATAGATTTACTTTTTAACTCTTAGTTTTAATGAAAATAACTACTACTATTCGACTTGGGACGGGGCGATGCTACGAGTTTCAAACGAGATGCCATCTTGACAATTTTTTTTATAGAGTAATTTAATTTTCTTACTACGTGATAACTTGTAGCTAAGCTACAAGTTATCACGATAACTTGTAGCTAAGCTACAAGTTATCACGTAGTAAGAAACTACGGCGTTCATGCAAAATTTTGAAAGAACCGAAGAATCGAACAGAAGCAAATATGATCGATATAAATTAATATGTCAGTCAAAGTCTAATCTTCATAATTAGTTTTATAATATACCTACTAAATGAGAAAGTCTTTCTCACGCATTTCCCTAACAACACCAGTCCGCTTAGTATTTAATTATATCATTTAAGAATATTTTTTAAATATATAACTATTATGAATTAAGTTTTTTTGATATGAATTATAAATTTTGATATTTCATGGGAGTTATGTTGTCACCCAAATAGTAATTTCTTCTAAAAGAATAGTTTACCAAGCATCAAAGTTTACGAAATGTCAGCTCGCTTTTAAATTTATAATAGGTAATTTGCGATAAAAATGGCTAACAATAGTTTTCCGTAAATATACATAAATTAAGTTATATCGGGTTCTTAATTTTTCGCGATTGTTACATCTAAGAGATGAAACTATTTTTCCGGATTTAAATCTAAATAAATATAAAATGATTTGTAAAACAGATGTAGAGTAAACTGGTTGATGACTGTACCACGTCAATCAATCGGGACCTGTAGAGGGCCCGAAACGTTGATTTGTTTGAAAAAACAAATATACTCGATTTAAATCCGGAAAAATAGTTTCATTTCCTTTATAAATTAAGTTGGTAGAGTAGTATTTTACAAGATTTTTTGGAACTTGCAGAATTTCATTCGGTTGTTTCCGTATTTTTATTTGCACAAATGTTTTCGGTAGCTTTGTAAATAACACAGTAACATTCGTGTTTGGAATAAGCTCATTTTAAATTTAATTTTTCGAAGCTTTTACTACTACTTGAAAAGATTTCAGTTGCATTTGAATTTGGTAAAGACGGTCGCTTCTTGTAGCCTGCTTCATATCTTATGCCTTTTGTTTCTGTGTACATTAGTATTTAGTGCATAAATGTTATAATTGCACTATACACCCGTGTCCAAAAATCAGTAATACAAAGTAAGCATAAATAAAGATCTTTTTATATATTTTGTTTAATTAAAGATTTTATTTTTACATTCAAGGTAGCAGAAAAAACATGACATGAAATAATTTTCTCGGGACTTTAAAGCTACAAAGCTCGTTTTCAATAGCGGGAATATGCTAAGCTTTTGATGTCCCATGGAATAAAACTTCACTTTCAGGTGCGTAGGTTTTGAAGCGTGTCAGCCAGACCCGGAGAAATTCATTACACGATATACAAACATTACCTTTTAGAAAGAAAATATACTCTCTTACTGTAAAATAAGCTCATAGTCCCGACGTATTTATTAACTAAACTGTTTCCGCGGCCGAACTCGTACCATGCTCGTCTGTCACGCAGAGGTCCCGGGTATTAGTATGTGCGTTATTTTTATTATTAAAGAACACGGAAGAATAATAATAATGTTATATCATTGAAATATCTGTAATCATCGAATGAAACTAACCATTCCGAAATGAAATTGTGCGCATTTTTAGGATCTGTTTTTTATGTGGCGAAGTTTAGTCAATCGCGTTTCGGACGTATTTCATAACACGTTTTAATTAGTATTTGTGTGTGGCCTTAAAGATGTTCCAGCAGATACCTGACGATATGCAGGTCTTGACAACTTGGTTCACAAATTCAGTCAATAGGCACGGCATTCCATGAGGCAGCTACGAAATGCGCGAAGTTCGTATAATACAACTTCAAGTTGATGAAACCTGCAGTTTAGATCGACTGCATGCAATCGACATTAACTGCGGGCAGTTATTGCGCGCCCCTAGTTCAAGAGCTCAGTGTAAAAACTTACGTTTTATTTTTATTTATTTTTAAGTTTTTTGAATCTGTTTCAAAAAGGCCATCTACGAAAAATAAATCAATAGAGAGACGTTTCACCAATTTTGTTATGTTTTACCATTATGTTGCTTGAACCTCATAAATCATTACCTTTGACCGTTACAAAAAAAGTTGTTTTAGACGCAAAAATATAAAAACATATCCTCGTAAGCACAGACCACACTCGTAAGAATGTCAATTAATATTTTTGATTCTCGGACTATTGCTCACATCGGCGCTTGAAGTTGAAGTCTCAACTGCATGCAGTTGAGTTCGACTGCATGCAGTTTATGCTTGAAGTCGTCATCAACTTCACACATTAACTGCAAACATGCAGTCAATCTGTTAGCAGAGTAAGTATCATTCTTGAGTTTTCAATTAAAATGCAACGAATGCAGATGCAGTAGCGTCTGGCGATCCACTGGGAAATTTCATACTTACGGGCCGGTCTTTTTATTTAGATTACTCGTCTAAATGTCGTATTTCATTCGCGTAGGTACAGTCGCCGTTAACATTATCTTAAGGCGAGTTACCGGAGGAGAAGCGGGTAAAACAGTTTTGTTCCATCAAATGGTTTAGATATTAATGGTCTTAGAGAATATAGTCTAAAGAATGTGCTAATAAGACGCACGATAGGATGTACTTTATTTGACCATATAAAATCCTGAATACAGGCTAATATACAATTTTAAAACGAATTATTTAAGGATAAAATATCTAACATAGTTCATAACAGTAGAGCAAAGCAAGAGCTTGTGAAAGTGTCCATCCAGGGTAATACTGCCATCTTACCTATTTCTGCCGCCAAACTGTAATGTCAGCACTATTATATTTCGGTTTTGAAGGGTGGTGAAATTATAGGCACATAGGACTCATCAACTTATGTTTCAGGGTGACGGGCGCAGTGGCAGTGCGCCTCAGAAGTGCGCCTCAGATCTTTGCGATTGAAAGCTCTTAAGTGGCAATGCAACTGTTATAGACAGACGTGTAGTTTCAGGCGCACGACTTGTTTGTCCCGTCACTTAATATTATAATATATAACATAGCCTTTTCCCGCGCCCCGCCCATCGTTTTTCCGCCCCGGCGAAGCTGTCACTCGTAAGCACATTGTGTAAATAAATAAATAATTTTGATCATATTGTTATGTATGTTAGTCTATAAGGTATGTGTTTATGGGTCTTTTCTAACCTAAAAAAAACCCTTTTTATTTGGAGATATTTGTCTTTAACTACTACAGAGAACCTGCTGAATTTTGGTTTTCAACTGAAGGCCTATTAGTTATTAAATTCACATTTATCCCAAAATTTGCAAATTTCCCAACGGTTTAACGACACGTCGCGCTGCCCGTTACCTCGTCTGTAGCCAACGGGCGCGCAGTTAAAACTTTTATCTATTCAGGATAAACTTCACATTACGTACGTAGAATATTATATAGATTTCCTATTTCGGGAATATATCGCACATAATTTGTGGTTGTCTATGTGTGTCCATGGCACCCGCGATACAGCGTTTCCTTAGTGCGGGGCTATGTTGAGTGTGTGCGTTATTATTATTATTAATAATAATAATATTAATATATTTGGCAACTAAGAAATTGTTTAATATATAAAAGATAAGATAAATTTTAATGATCTTTCACGGGATGTGAGTAATTCGTTTATCATAGATTCCGAAAAAATACGCTTTTTGAGTTAATGCACTATTGCATTAACAGTGCTATGTATATCCCCATCGAGTGTCTGTTTATTAAAAGTTTCTGTCACTTATGAAACCCCCGAGAGTTGGTTAGGTACATTCTTTTATTTTTCCCTCGATGACAAAAGTTTTGTCATCAATCTGTATTAGGTAGGAGAAAATTACTTTCAATACAGTATTGTGAGTTGTTTTGTAGTTCCGCAGACAGTATTACGTACAAGGGTTTACTTTATTAGTTGATATACTTCTACCGGTAAATTTAGTATATGGAATCAAGCTACTACTTTCGCGATTTCCGAAAGCTTCCCCAAAGTAAAAGTTATATAGTTTCATGTACTGAATTTACTGCTAAAAGAATTTCAGTTATTAAATGGGTTATGTATCGGTTTACGAAAGTACTTACTAACCGTGAATTATTTCATGTACGTCCTTGCCAAAAATGGATGGATATTGGTTAAGCAATAGAGCATAAAAACGGAACAAACAAAGGATTCAACTTTTTAAATAATTAATTTTAATTATTTTTCGTGACAATTATTACTTTACCTAAGCAAAGTACCTTCAAATGTTATTTTTGTGAATATTATTATTAAATAATAGTAAATCACAAAAAGAAATTGTAGCTTAGTAAAAAAGGAGTGTGGGGTCTCTGACAGTGGAATGATTACCTATACTTATCGAATATCTTAAACAAGAAGTGAGAGTTAAATGTTGCGATATGTTATTTGAAAATTTTTTTTAATAAACTTTGTTTCCGTATGTCCTTATTGAAAATTTGGATTATGAATAAAACCGGAGAAAACAATATTTTTATATTCTAGTTCTTTAAAAATGAAAATACAAGGCGACAGGAATTATGT